TTTCTTGACTATGCAAAGGCTGCACAGATCATAACAGTAGATAACATTGTTAAGAAATCAGAAAGCTAAATAAATACAAATGAAGCTTTTTTTGAATAATAAATTACTTGTTCTAGTTAAAAGAAACAGAATTCTAGAATACTTAATTGTGCTCATGGGGAGCATTTTATTATCTATTTTTTGACAGAACAAGGAGATACTGGATGGCTTAAAATCAAGACCTTTTTATGTTCGCATTGTCTCCTTTCACCATATTTAATAGTCTGTATATTGGTTAGATAATCCAAGAAAGTGGGCTAGATGAAAAAGAATTAGCCTCAGGATTGCAAGAAGACTCGTGAACAACAACCTGCAATCTGTCGATGACACAACCGTGCTTGCTGCAGGTAAAAACTTGAAGCCCTACTGATCAAAGAATACCGCCTTCATTATAGATTACGATTCCTTGTAAAGAAATCATTTTTTTTTACAACTGGACTAATAAATAACATCACGATCATTTAAGAAAAGATTGACGTGTCAAAAATTTGATTTTACTCTGCCCTCGTGGAACCAGTAATCAATAAATGAAATGGCATATTGCATTGGGCAGCTCAGCTGCACGACCACTTTAAAGTGTTAAAGAGCAGTGATATGAGGACTAAGGTGGGCTTGACCCCATCCTTGGTATTTTCAGTTGCTTTATATACGTGTGAAAGCCGGACAGTGTTTAAAAAGGAAGACTGGAGAAAAATGAATACATTCGATTTTAGTGTTGGTGAAAATATTGAAAACAAACAAACTGTAGACTGACAGAAGCACAAACAAACCTGTCTTGGAAGTACAACCAGAATGCTCCTTATAAGTGAGGGTGCTGAGACTTGCTTTCACGTACTTTGGACATGTTATTGGGAGAGGCCAGTCCCTGGAAAGGGACATCGTGCTTGGCATAGTGTAGGGTCAGCTGGGGAAAAAAATGAAAGAGGAAGACCCTCAACAAGGTGGATTGATGGGCAACGAATGTACAAATGCGCTTTACACAATTGATGTGTGTATGGATTGTGATAAGAGTTGTATGAGCCCCTAATAAAATGATAAAAAAAGGAAATAGAAACAAACAAACAAACAAACAAAAAACAAGGTGGATTGACACAGTGGCTGCAGCAACGGGCTGAAGCATAACAATGGTGAGGATGCACAGGTTTGGCAGTAGACTTGTCAGTCCAGAGTGAATAAGTGGCACCAAGCAACCACAAAAACAAAGATTATCGAAGACAGTCATTTCCCTCAAAGAGCTTAAAATCTCCTGAGGACATGGGGAAGACCAAACAGAGAAGTTGTGAGTAGAGGCACACTGTTGTTAATGGGGGTGTGCTGACACATAGAATGGGGGTCCAGGGATGACTTTCTGAATATTAGCACAGGGAGATTAGTAACTTTCAGAAAACTATAAAGAGCAGCATATGCCACGATCTAGAAATAAAATGAAGCAAAGCAAATTTAGGAAATTGTGTTGTATCTATATGATCGTAGTATCTCTGTATTAGTGATGGAAATGACAACAGATGAAGCTGGAGAAGTAAACATAGTGTACACCATGACAGATATTCATAATTCTGTGGTTATTCACCATCGAGTAACTTGCTAAATTTCCCAAGTCCCTTTGGTGAACTGTTGCTTATCAATTTGTGTGAGTTATGATCCAATCAAGAGGCTGTATCTACACAGAGTGTAAGGCTTCCTCCTTGCCATGCTAATTCCTTCACCTACTTACCTTCTGAGGAAACTGGTCTAATAGGTCTAGTACCTTACTCTCCCTTATTAGTGACTACCT